GGGAAGACACCGAGAGAGGGGCGTTGGAAGATGACGGCAAGAACGACACCAAGGGCGGGACCGAGAATCTGGCCCCCAAGCAGACAGCTTCTCGGGACCGAGAAAGCCAAGCAGTGGCAGGTGACGCAGCAGCAGCTGAGGGAGCTGGAGTGGCAGCGTCTGCGATTGCTGCGTCTGCGTTTCTTGACGAGACAGACGAGCAAGGCTGGCGAGCTGAAGCGACAGGGTTGACGAGGTGCAGGAGGATCAAGCGCGGTCCGGGCATGGGAGAGGTGTTGCCCGGCCAGTCTGGAGCATGTGGGCGACGATGCTTCGCAGCTTAGGTTCAGGACGACGGCGCCAGCAAAGCGGAAGCTGCTGATGTTGCTGAAGCCTTGCAGCGGTGACGGCAGTGCAAGCGGTGCGATGACAGACGCGGCAATGCTCGAGTGGAGAGAAGAAACTCTGTTGCCGTCGGGGCTTGAAACATTGACGGCAGGGGACAGGGAGGCACCCGCGCAGCTGGGTAGCTGGACGGAAGATTTCAGCAGCACTGCCTGCCACCTGGTCCCGACGGTGCAGGCTCAAATCTCTCTGCCTGAGGGCCAAGTGGGGCCGGGGCAGGCACCTGCAGCAATTAAACTACAGGAACTACAACCATCCGGTCCGCAGCAAATCATTACTCTGTGCCTATTATGCCAGCCACCGCGACTCAAGACTCGACACGGCAGATGAGTGCCATGATCGGAATGTTCATGGTCTGGCAAACTCAAAAAAGGCAATGCCGTGCATGCGTGGGCACTGCTGCACGCCGTCGGCACCTACGCCCTACAGCCACAACCCCAGCTGCACATCCAGCGCTGATATCAGCCAACGACCAGCACAGGGCGCTTGGCGTTGCAGGTCCCGTGATATTCTTGGAAAGTGCTCGGATGAGGATGAGCAAGATGAGATGCCTTGATAGCCGGCGGACAGACGACAAGTACGTGGGCTACTGGCCACCCTGAAGGGCTCTAGAACGTGTCAGGGACAGCCATCAGTCAAGACGACCAGATGTCGGGTTCAGACAACAGCCAGCAACACGTTCCTGTCATGTCCGCACGGAACGGTCAGTCCGTCGTCCACCATTCAGCTCAGATCGACAACTCAATCAGGTGCGTCTCAGTAAGACCTAGAAAAGCAAAAACCGGCCTCAGTGATGTTTGCTTGCTTGCTTGCCCCGGCCGAACATGGCTGGACCCAAGGCAAGGCGAGGCGAGGCAAGGTAAGGCACGCATTCACAGGGCAGAGGACACACCACAAGACTGGGTCGTCTTGTCATGTCTCATGGCCTCTCCGGTCGACCACGGACATGGACCTCACAACCTAATCGACAATCGATAAGGAATTAGGTGTAGGGGAACAGGAGGAGGACGGCTACGGTGTGGCGTCTGGAAAGGTTGTTGCTGATGACGGACGCTATGTGATCTTCCCGCGCGGGAAAGCCTCATCCTTGCAGTTCATCACTCGCTCGTTCGTCCAGCAGCAGCTAATTTCGTCGCCTGGCGGTTGGCTGGAGGCTTTGAAGGGCAGCAGTTCGTCTGTGGAAACACGCCGTGTCCTGCTAATTTTGAAATAAAAAGGAAGCATCTGCAGACAGTGGTGGAAGGCAGCCATAAACACCCAAGAAAAACGCCCAACTGGCGAGCGCTGGTCGACACACCACCCATCTCACTTGCAGATTTGCAGTGCAAGAACGCCTAGCGCATGCCGCGCACTCGCTGCGGCTACACACGCTCGTCGTCTAACCTTCTCGATCGAGGCAAGGTTGGGCTGAACTGCGTTGGGTTGGTTGGCTGTCTTTGCCGCAGCGGCACCGGTGCCGGTCGGATTCAAGATGGACATAGTTAACGTCCGTAGGGACTTTGGCGTGCTCGGGGTGGGCAGAAAGCCGGGTTGGTCCTGGCTGCGTCCCGTACCGCACCGTCATCGACACCGCACTCCCCATCAAGGAATGGATACGGCTCGCAAGTACGGATACATGCGAGGAATATTCTGGTACACTGGGAGGCGAGCGGGTGAGCTGGCTGGGCTGATGATTCCATCATGTCTTTCCCCGGATACGGCGTACGGGCTCAGAGTGGGTGAACACAATTGGAAACCGAACCAAGGCGGGGTTCTTCAATAAGCAGAACGGGCCTTCTGTCACCTCGTGAGCAGCATCCGCCTCAGACAAGAGTCACTGATCTTACGGGCAGTCAGACACGGTGGGTAAGGAGTTCCTTGCGGCGGTTGACTCACCAATGCTCCGCCAGACAACCCAACGCGGTCGGGTCGGGTTGGAAGCCAAGCAGGAGTCCGTATCCGTACAGAACACTCTGCGTCGTAGGTAGGTTCGGAGGGCAAGGCCGATGAGATGCGGAGCGGTCAGGCACGGACGATAAGGTACGGATGCCGTAGTCAGGGTATCGTTTCTTCACCTTGCGGATACCATTGCGCTCACCTTGCTTTCTTGCGGTCCGTAGATGAAGTGGTGGTGGTGGTGGTGCTGCTCTCTACCTTGGTCTTCCTGGTTCCTTGCCAGGCACTCCCCGCCATGCCTAATTCGACTAGTGCGCTTTGCAGCTGGCGGTACGTACCGACAGCTGTCTCCACTTCGGATTATCGACGAACGACTGCTTTTTTTTTCCCCTTCCTTTCTCTCAGCAGTGTTCTCTCTCCACCACAACACCAACCAGTGCACGAGCATCGGCAGGGATCCCAATCCTTTATTCCAGTCTCTCTCCCAGGACTTCCATGTCCCTCTCCTCTGCCCTGCCCGCACTCGCTTGTCCGCTGTCTGGCATTCGCGAGGCGAGACGACCAGAAGAGAGGGTAATCTCTCTAATGGACGCCGTCCTGCAACCTGATGGAGACGGACGCTACCTAGCCCATCTGCTGCACTCTCTCAAATCATACCTTTCTTATCCCCGTGCCCTTGCCAGGCACATCACTCTTTTGTGATTGCTGCTGCTGCTGCTGCTGCTGCTGCTGCTTCCTTCGCCTCGCCAATCCGAACCCCCGTCGGCCACGGTTTGTCCCGAGCGGCCGTCTTGATGTTCGTTTTTACATTGCACAGGATTACCAGGAGAAGACATTCTTTTCTTCAGTCGCGTGTTCTGCATCGGTCCTATCCGCCAGCTGACACTGCCGTGGTTGTGCCCAAGGGGTCAGGCGGGGAGCGAGAAAAAGGAAACATAATTAATAATTGATGAGAGAGGCATCATAACACACATTAACCCGTCGGACCAACATGCATCATGTCTTTGCCCTGGCTGGCCAGTGCCGGGCTAGGTTTGCTACGCAAAACCGCCGTCCCGACGTACTGGCTCCCGGCCCAAGTCTGTCCGTCTTCTGGGGTCCATCGAGTCTCTGTACCTGGGACAAGACAAGCTGAAGGCCACACACACACACACACTCAGAGAGAGAGAGAGGGAGGGAGAGGGCGCGGAGGGCGAGAGACAAGCAAGCGCTCGTTGGTATTGGCACTGGCGTTGGCGCATCAAGCAACAAGGCCTGCTGTTCGGTAACCTCTTACACGCACCCGGTTCAGCCCAGGCCGTCAGCCAGCGTCTGTCCCAGGATCCCACCTCGAGGGCATCTCGCAATCTCACACTCTCGTCTTCCTTTCTGTTCCTCTCGATCGTATTGATTCGTCTCCCGTAGGTTATCTGCTCTTTTTTCTTGCCTGGTCTCTGCCTGGACGCGGTCCTCAGAGCAGGACTACTAAGGCAGTACCTTAGCACGGCCCTGGTTCCCGGTCGACGTCGAAACAGCTGCCCCAATAGGGAATAAGGTCACTGAATTATCCACTTGTCCCGATCACAGACCAGCTGGTACGGGCTGCCGTACCGTTCTACACTACGACGTTAGCCCGCCCCAGTCCAGTGGCCCGCCCACGCCCTGTAGTTTACGGGCTGCTTAGTGGTGTACCTGGTGTACATGCCTGGCCTGGTGTGGGAAAGAGTAAAGGCGAGCGCGAGGTGCCCTTCAGGACCCAGTGGCCCGTCTCCTTGAGGCCAGCCAGGGCTTGAGCGATGTCATTGTCATCTCTCCTCTCTCCTCTCCTCCCCGCCAGGTACCTACGGTACGGTACGGATACCGCTCCCTGCCTCTTGTTACCCTTTCCTTGCCGGTACGGATACCCTGCCCTGTCGTCTTGCCTTGCCTGTCTGGCCTTAGCCGGGTGTGCAGCAACTCTCTCTCTCACGCTCTCTCTTTCTGTGTGTTCCTCTGCTGCATATGAAGGCTGCGAGGGTGAAGGACGCTAGCCATAGCCCTGCAGCCCATCCCAAGCAGGGACGTTGAGGGTACTGACCGGGGCGTTCATACCACGGCTGCCAATGCTTTTGCAGAAAATGCTGGAGCCTATCGATCCCTTCCCCGTCCCCGCCACAGCCCCATGTCTTTTCTTCAATTGCTAAGACAGGTAGGCGGACTTGGAGACTGGACTGTGCCCGTCTGCCCATCACTCTGGTAGTCTTTCTGGGTCTCTCTTCCTTTGCCTTTGCCTCTGGCCTGGACACTGGAAGAAGTGGGAGAGACACCTTTGACTGCACTTGACCCTCACTCCACCAGCAGGTCCTGTCCTGCCCTGTCCCCAGAGTCCTTGTCCTGGGTATTGCATGTCCCACTCATAACGCAAAGACACACACCTCCTCGTTCTACGCCGCACATACACACATACCTACGCCGTACAGTACACACACACGCAACACACCTTGCTCACCTCTGCTTCTCTTCCTCTCCGTCTCTTCATCCCCCACACACACACCCCAGGGGAGTCCTACATACGCCTCTCCCCGTAAAACACCCCCCTCCCCTCCTCCCCTTCTTCGACCGTTGGGACCACACCCCCCTCCTCACACACTGGTGCTGGTGCTTGTACCTCCGTACCCTTCTTCCCCCATCCTGGTCACCATAATCCCATCTCTCTCTCTCATCCTCGAACCCCTGCCACCACGTCTGGGCCTACCTCCATCCAGTGTAGCTTGTCTTTGAACATGCCCATCTCTCCTCCGTCTGCTGCTGGCCCTGCTGCTGCATGGCCAGACGGTACGTCGACACAAGGTCGGGATCTAATACCATAACTCCACACGCTACTTACTACATGTCGTTCACTGCCCACTCCCATTTATAAGACCAGTGCCCGCTCCTGGACCCGTGAGGCTGAGATCTTTAACCTTCTGATGATGTCCAAGTATAGCATCTGTGATCTCAGTTGAACCGAAAGCCTCCACCCGGCCAGCAAGCAAGCAATCCTTCCTTCTCCAGACTTCAAAACTTCGGTGCCTGATTCACATTGGTCTGTTATAAGTCCTTCTCACTCTCCGCCTCGCCGATACATCGTCACTTGGCCACATCACATACCAACAACACATACACCCGTAAACGGCGCTTGGACATACACACATACACACACTCTCACTCCATCGACACTGACAACATCATCGACCTTGGACCCTCACCACCTTGTCCGTATGTGCCATCCAGAGTTTCTTCCTAGTCGTCCTTCTTCTTTATCAATGGCTTCCAGTTATTCCGAGCAGGGTTGCGAGAACTCTTACTCACTTCCACCCAGATCCCGAGCAGGAAGCCGCGTATCAGCCACCACTGCTCAGTTCGCAAGCATACAGCTCGTCGATTCCCCCAGAACCTTGCCGATAGAGTCCAGCCCCTCCATCAGGTCCGAGGCTCTCCATTCCTCCGGCTATATCAGTCCCAACCCGCCCAGCTCGGTCACCTTCCTCTCAACCAACTCTAGCTCCCAAGGATACTCGCCTTTCCCCCTCCTGCCTCCCGAGATCTTGAATGCAGAGTGGAACGACAGCAACGAGGTACACCACCAACAGCACCCTTCCAACTCGACGCCTCTAGTCAGAGTAGACCCGGCCCAGGACACCTACTCTCACCACCACCCATCCCCATCGCCGCCACTACCACACGGAGCAAGCATGAGGTGCGCTCCCGGACCTTGAACCACGTTGAAAACCGTTGACCAGTCTCTCTAACACTTTGTCTCTTTCCCAGCACTGTTGCTATCCCATTCGACCCCACGTTCACCATGGGAAGCCGATCAACATTCACCTGGCCTGGTAAATCAGCTCCCCCCCCCTTCTCCCCTCCCAACAACAGCTCATCCCTGGACGTGCCTCTAACATGCATAACCAAAAGGCCTCGAACACAGCGGCGAATCAAGCGGGACGCTTCTCGGCCACAACCTCGCATCTCTCGGCTCCTCAGACGCCAGCCTCACACCACCCAGCGGATCGAGATCAGTGACGGCCAGCCCGCCAAGGGGGGTCATGACGCCGGAGCAGCGGGAACTGAAGAAGCAGAGGGACCAGGCGCGCCGGGACTCAAAGACCTCTCAACGGGTAAGGAGAGCCGGCAGCAACAGCTACATCCACTCGCCACCGCTCTCGATGCCCGACGTCTCCAGCACGATGGGCGTTCCCGTCTACACCACGGCGCCAGCCCCGATCTCGCTCCTCGCCGAGCCGACGACCACCATGGGAAGCTCGTCATACCTCCCTTCCTACAGCCCGCCGCTGTCAGACCACGGCTACCAGAGCGGGTACCCTCCGATGGCGCCGGCCTACAGCATGGGCGGCATGGACTACTCCAACCAGTTCCAACCACCAGCACAGTACGGGTACGTGAGCAGCGAACCGAGAAGTGGTGGCCGAGGCCACTACTTTTGGCAGCAGCAGGGCAGGAAAGCTGACACACCGCCTCTTAGCAGCCGCCCTCCACTGTCAGTCAGCCAGGACCCGATGATGTACGGCGTGCCGCCCTCGATGGCGCCCGGAGCCGGAGCGGACCAGGGAGGACACGTGAGGGTGGTGCAGAGCCGGCCCAAGCCCCAATGTTGGGAGCACGGCTGCAACGGCCGCCAGTTCTCGACCTTTAGCAACCTCCTCAGACACCAACGCGAGAAGTCAGGCCAAGCAGCCAAGGCGACCTGCCCCAACTGTGGAGCCGAGTTCACGAGAACAACGGCGCGGAACGGCCACCTCCTCCACGACAAGTGCAAGCAGCGCCGCAACACATAGACCTGCTGGGATGACGTGGCTTAGGGGCACGGCCTGCCTTGTTTTGTTTGTGTTGGAAGCAGCCATCATTCATCATTATTTTTAACGACGCAAAGACCGGCATGACACCTCTTTTTTTTTTTTTTCACTCTTCCCTGTTGGTTGTTGGCGGGGGATGTGTTGGATGGAGAAGGGGGGCAGCACAGTCAGGGAGAGAGGGGCCGTCGGACTTTGGCTGGGCCCCTTGCTCTTCCGCTCCTCGCACATCATCCATGCCGACATGCGACGACCAACAACGTACGAGAACGACCAACGCCGCACTGCGCGTCGCTGCCCGCCCCCCTCTTTTTGGTGTTTACTGTTTTCTTCCATTCTATCTGTACATCCTAGGGAAAGAAGAAAACAAAAGGACTTTTGGCTTGCAGAGGAGGAAAGGAGGAGGAGATAGGCTGTGGATTGGGAATCAAAAATCGACTTTGCTTTGTCTTAGAGGAAGGGAAACGGTCAGAACGTGTCTATCCTTCGTGGTTGCATGTTCTCGCCGACTTGGGTGGATACGGTGTTTATTTTTCTGTCATTTCTTGCTCTGCTCTGCTCTGCGTTGGCTACTTTGATTTTTGGACTTTTGTTTTATGGAGAAAGGGATGGCATTCTTGGCTTATTTTCGTTCACAAAACACCAACCACCACCACCAACAACCGCGGCGTCGGGGAACCCGGCCGCTTCTTCACCACCCTTTTTTTTCTTATTTTCTATTCTCCTCATCTTTTAAGATATACCCTTTCTTTAGCGTTTCTTGAAATACACCTCGTTCCCCTCAAGGAAACGAAAGATTACGGAAAACGCTGTTCTTCTTCTTCTCTTCTTCTTGTTCACACAACCTTCTTCCAACCTTCAAACTTTTTTTGTCGTTTGGTTTGTTTTTTTTACATATTGCCTTTTTTGGACATACGGTGTTGATTGATTGAGAGTAAGAGAGAGAGACGTCTGGTACATAATTTTCTTCCACCTTTTTTTGTATGCTGGTCGGGCCTCGATGGCACACACAAACACACACATTACACACACACAAACGAAAGAAAAATGCAAATGCAAATGTTGTTAAGAACCGAACGTCATCGGAGTTCCCTCCCGCTGCCCCCCTCCGCTTCAATGTGACTTGTGAACGACTCCCGCAATGGATGCTACCTTCATCGGGGGAAAAAAGACAACAGAAACAACGGTAACCAGACCCCTGGTTTTTTTTCTTAATCTCGAAAAGACTCTGCAGCCTCTGACGGGCCTATGAACGGCGCGGGAGAGAGAGTCACCTGTTTCGGAGAGAGGCCCCCAAAGTTGGTCCCAACATGGTCTAGGGTGCCCTTGGGCAGGGGAGGGGGGTGTGGTGGGAAAGGTCACAGTTGTCGCTTTCCAAAACATTGGTAAATTCTGTATCTTGTATTTTCGTATTTTTCTGATTCTCCTCTCCTCTTCTTTACGTTCCCCAAGGTGCGTCGTGGGTAAGGCATGCAATAAACGCAAAGCTGCCTCGGCTTCGTGCAGAAAGGACCTCGCAGAAGAAACAAGACTCCGTTTACCTTACAAAGGGAACAATAAGCATTGCTGGGAAGGATTACGAGATGGGGGGCGCGCGGGTTTACGGGTACGCGGTGCATGGTATGGTGCAGAATGGATACCTACCTAACCTCGGACGGCGCGCGAGAAAAACAACGAATGAAAAAGAACATTGAATTCAGCGAAATGAAGCCCAACGTGCTTTGCTTCTTTCATCCGATGTCGTTTTTGGATCTTTTGTCAAGTCGTCAATATGGAGATACGACGGGTTCTAGCAAGGTGTGGGCGTGGCGGAGAACACGCTAAACAGAAGGAAAAAAGCGATGGGGACCTGGCTTTCGGAGTCGCTCTCCGTCCATGGGTTGGTGGGTGAAAGGGGAGGGGTCCCCCCCGCTGCTGTTGCGTAGGCGCCGCCTGCCAAGGGCGCGCGACCTGTGGCCGGGGGTCTCCCGGTGATGTCAAGATCAGTCGAGCCGAGTTTGGAGGAGAGCAGGGCCTGCTTTATCCGGTCGAGCCTGGGGCCGGGGTTCAGAAGGGAATAATCCCAACCCAACTCCAGGAAGCAGCACTCCCAGGGGCCCCGGTCCTCCAGCACGACGGACCTCACGGATCGTGGGGCTATTGATACCAAGAGGCTGGCGGGAGCAATTTATCGTCCACGTGTAAGTGAATGCAACTGCCTATTACCGCAACGCGCGCAGCTTCCTTTACCGCCTGCCGACATCCCAGATCAGTCAACGACGATAGCAAGAAATCGTGCAGAGGCATTGGGTTGAGTGGGGGGAGACGAGAGGTCATCGTGCCGGTGCCGGACAGAGACGGCGCGGAGCTTTGATCGTCTTCTGCGGATCTTTCTAGACCATGACTGATAAACGGCATCTTGAGGCTGAATCCGCGAGTCGTGAAAGCCCGGCAGGCGGAGAGGCTCCATGCTCGGGAGACGCTGTTTGTCTTCCCCGTTCCCAGGGTTCAATGCAGCTGCCTGCCGTGGAACACTCAACAGCCGTGAGGTCGAAAGATGCTTTACCAAGTTGATGGGTCCGCGGGTGCAAAGATCGGCGCCATACGCAGACAAGGCGAAGGCCTAACAGGCAGATTGAGTGCTGATTTGACGGGGCCTGTTCCTCCCATCCCATCATGATCCGTCCCGTTTCCAGGACGCAGCATCAATGCAAACGCCAAAATGGCCGAGCGATGGCCCTCTGCGCGTAGTGTTCGCTCTGTAACGCGCAGTCTGGGCCAGAGGTGAAGCTTTCGAGCAGGAAGCGAGAGGGACCAGGGCATGCAGCGTCCCAAAGCAGGCCATGACGACTTGCATCTTCATATCTGGCAAGGCACGGAAGAGGGGCGGTATCGACTCGACCCAAGCCTCTTCTGTCGACACTAGTCCCGCCTCCCGTTGCAACGGACCTGAACCTGGGCCTGTCTCTGGACCTGGATTGTAACCTGGAACCCGGGCTCGGGGGCTCTAGGACTCTGGCAACGGGTAGCGATCGCCGCCGCAGACAACCCAGCTTCAGTTGAGGCAACAGACATGTACATGCGCGCTGGGTTTCGCAGACGTCGTCCGCAGAACCTACAGACTGAAAATGCACAGGTGATGGCAGACGACCTGCGGCTCAGCATCCAAAGACTCGCTGTGCTCTGTATTTCGCATTGCGACGAGCGTATGGCAGCGTCAAGCAGAAACGAAGAACTGGGAGATACGTACCTGGCCGCTGGTACCCCGAGGTAGCGAATTGGAGATGCAGGTGTAGCTTCCCCGCCGTTCCCACCCCCTCCCAGTCCGACACAGCCGCGATGGAAATAGGACGGGTCCTAATTTGTAGGGACGTTCGGTCCAAGGTGACAACGCCCCGAATGAGAGCACCAGGCCGGTTGAGGGTTCATCTCGCCATGTGAGTATGGTTTAGGGTCCCAAGTGACGGTGTGATGGAACAACAAGCCTCTGTTTAGGCATCGAAATAAGGTCGAATCACAGATGCGCCAACTCATCTCTATCCTCGGAAGTGAGATGAGCGTTGCTTTTTTGGAAATTGGGGCTTGGGACGGGCCGCCAGGGCGAGAAGGATCTCCTTGAGGCCTGAGACATGGTCTTTTTCTAAACGGCCGAGGGCAGCCAGTTAGAAGAGGGCCTCAGACTCTGCAGTACATCTGAAAAAGACACTTATGGCGTGGTATTTAGCTGTAGAGGCGTCTAATCAATATGTTGTATTGAGCTGTAGATTATTCCTAACCCAGCCTAACCCTGCTTAGCCTCCTCTTAAGCATCTCCTTAAGGCCTAAGACATAGTCTTTTTCTAAGCTACTAGAAGTATAAGCTTAGAAAAGGTTTAATATACTACTTAAACTATACTATTAGTTAATATACTTATATTTTATAGTAAAACCTATACTTTTTAAGTACTTATACTTCTACTAAAACTAGTTAATATTTATTTACTTTTTTTAATAATTATAAATTAACTTTATTCTTTAATTTAGTTTTTCTATTTATTTACTAATTATATTATAATATTTCTATTTATTTTATATTAAATTAACTCTTAAAAAAGCTCTAAAAAATAAATAATATTTATAATAATAAGATTATTAAGTTATTTAATAATTATAATAATAATATTAATATTACTAATAATTTTAAAGATCTTAATACCTCTATAAAATATTATATTCTTATTAGTTTTAAAGTTATTAATAACCTTTATTAAGTATTTATTATAAAAAATATTAATAAAATTAATATTAATATATTAATACTACTTTAAGTATATAACTTCTTATTTCTATTTAAACTAAATATATTATTAAACTTCTAGTTAGCTATTCTATATAATAATAATATAGTATAATATAACTTTACTTTACTTAGTTTTTTATTAAGTATTTAGTATAATAAAAACTTTTAAATTATATTAATAATATATTTTATTATAAACTTTTTTTATAATACTTTAAGTATAAAATATACTTATTTTTTAGTTTCTTATTATTATAGATATAATAGAAGTTTATATTTAAATAGATAGCTAAATAATAAGTAAATTAAACTAATTAAAAGTTAGAAATATATTAATATAAATATAATCTTATTACCTATATAGCGTAGTAGTATATACTTAGTAGGCCTATATATTACTTAAACGTATAAGTGTTAGTTTAATCCTAGCTATAAGAACCTTTTTTCCTCTCTTCTAATTAGTTAAGAACTTACTATAAAATATAGGTCCCTCTCTTAAAGGACTTATATATATAGTGGGGTATTAATAGCCTCTAGCTAATTATTATATAGTATTATATGCGCGCTTTATTTACTTTATTATATACTATGCTTATAGCTTAAGTTTTCTTCTTATAAAAGGTTTCTTAGTAGCATATAGCTTAGTATTAAGTATTAATATAGAGTATTAAGGCCTTAAGCCTTATAGTATAAATTAAATAGAAGGGGAAGTACCTTTATACTTACC